GGGGATGGCCACGCCGCAATCCCTTCTCCTCCATTCTCCTCTCGGGATCTTGGGCATGCACGCACACGCGCCCGGTGTGTTTAAGCCACCGGGTCCGGGACTCGAACCACGGTTGACTATGTGGGAGTCCAGCGACATAGCCATTACGCCAACTGCTGGTCCCAACCCCGGCCTCGTTTGTGGACACAGCTGGGGAACGTAGCATCCTCATAGCATGGCCAGGAGAGGAATCGTAAAGGGCGCGGAGCGGGGCGGGGTGGGCCAAGAGCAGAGCAAGCTGACGCTATGCCAGGCCCGCGCCAGGGCACCGGGCTGAGCAGAGCCCCGGCTGCAGGACCTGCCAACTCGCGCCTCAGCCTCACCTGAGCCACGACCGCCCGCACCAGCTGGAGCAGTCGCTGTCCGCTGAGGCAGGCCGGTCTGGCCCTTTGACACAATACAACCTGAAGGTCACCTTGAAGAGGGGCCAGAAGGTGCCGCACACTTCCACGTGAGGTGAGATCTGACACCAGCACGCTAGCAGCGCCACCCTGAGGGTGTCCGTGGCCACAGTCCTCAGTACAGCTGCTTACTGAAGAACAGCTTTATTGGTGCCCTGACGAGCCAAGGTGTCCTTTGTGACCCTCACTCCCAAGTGACATCGGCCTACAAGGCCCTCGTCAGGACAAAAGCCAGTTGCCCGAGTCAGGGGATGCCTGGCAGGAGGCCAGGTCTCTACTCCAGATTAAAAGTGTCCAAATCCTGATTTCAGAGGCTGCAAGCCAGAGGCTAGAGTTGTGATGGGCATCGCGCCGCCGGTGGGGCCCAGGAGACCGGCAGAGTCATTCGGCAGCAGCCGCGGGGCTGTGCAGATGAGGTAGAGGCCGGGGAGGCCACAGGAAATTGCCCCTGAGCTTCACAGAGGTATCACACCAGGCAAGGCATGGTACTGGCCTGAGGTCGCACTTTGAGACGGGGGTCGGGTCGCCAGGCATGGCTGGGCAGCAGAGACCTGTGCCCACCTGCCCTAGGCCTGCCAAGGCTCCACAGCCTGTCACCCAGCCGGCTCCTCACTGCTGGGGTATCTTCAGGTTCTTGATGGGATACACGTACCACATCACCACGCCCGAAGGGTTGATGGTCACCGTGAAGTTGGTTTCACACCGGAGGCCACTGATGATGTCACCTGAGTAGACGTTCTGGACCTGCAGGGGGAGGGACACCAGTGCCACCGTGAGGAAGGTCATGCAGGGGACGCAACCCTGAATCTTCCATCCCTTCTCCTCCAGCAATACCGACAGGTGCCCAGGCACAGGCAGTGGTGAAAGCCCCGACCAGGGGACCCAGAGCTGCGTGCCTAGAGGCTGAACAGCCGGGGCGGGGGAGGCCTTGGCCATCGGCAGACTTCAGTTTAGCTGTGGGACATGTGCTCACCACAGAGAGTCAGAGACAGCCAAAGTTGGGGGCAGTGAGAAATGACCCCTGGGGGGAATGACCATGCCACAATCCTTTCTCCTCTATTTTCTTAGGATTTGGGGCATACACACACACGTGCCCAGGTGCAGGACTTGAACCACGCAGTCGACCATGTGGGATCCAGCCAACTTAACCACCAGCTGGCCCAGCAGAACTCTTCTTTCTACACAGTGGTGTGTTCGCACAGCTCCAGAACACTGGTGCAGAAAACAGCGCCCCCCACAGCCTAGAACTGCACAGCGCCCCCCACAGCCTAGAACTGCAGCTGCCCGCGGGCACCGCCGGGGCCCAAACGCCACAGCTCAGGGGAGACCAGGTATGAGCAAGAACCACCCCCAGCGACAGCCCCCGGGGAAGCCTGAAGCTGAAGCCAGGCCGGGCCAGTGGCTCAGGCAGCAAGGCACTGACCTCGTACACTTTGGAGCTGGTGAAGTTCAGCCGGGCGAGTGAGGAGTGAAAGTGATAAGGCATATCTGTCCTGCGGCTGAAGAAGACCAGGGCGCTGGCCTCGCCCGACAGGGGCCGCATGAACACTTCGATGTTGGATTTCTCCTAGGACAGAAGACGGCTACTGGCTGTGGCCCCTGAAGTCTCCCTCCTGTCCCCTCCCACCCTGAGCTCTGGGTCCCCCCAGCCCACACCTCTGTGGCATGCAGAGGCTTGGAGAGGGCCCCACAGCCCTCTAGCATCCCAACTCAAGTAACCCTACCTTCCTCCACAGCTCATGGGGAGGGACGGAGGGACGAAGGCACGTGTGGGTGTCTACCTGTCCGAGCAGCTGCGGCCTGTGGTGCAGGGCCAGCCGAGCACAGCTAGCACCCGTGCCCATCCCGCACGCCCCACGCACACGCTGCCCTGCGGCGTGGGGAGCAGGCCTTGAGGGGAAAGCCCCATCACCAGAGGCTCCCCAGGCCTGGCTCCACCATCAACCCCTCCGGGCAGTTCTACGGATGACTTCTGCAGTGCTGTCAGTCTCTCAGAACTAGCAAATGAGGGATTTACGCAGCAGCAAAGGCTTTGGGCAGCCCTGCTTGAATCATGGAGTCCGCCCCTTTGCGTGGCCTTGGGGTGAAAGTACTTGAGATTTCCATTTCCCCATTTGTAGACGAGAATGTCTGCCCTGCTGAGACCATGAATCCAGGATGCCTGGCACACAGTAGGCACTAGAAAAAGTAGACACTGGCAGTGGTGCTAGAGCCTGACGAAGACCGCTGCTTAGACTCCGGAGGGGAGCCATGGTTCTCTGCAGCCTTCAGAGGCGTGCAGGAGCCTCTCCCTCCCTGCCGCAGATCCTGCTGCGCCCGGCCAGAGGAGCAGGGGCACAGCTCCCTGCAGGGCCTCACGGCAAACCAGGGGAGCACCCTGGGGTGGATTTGGAGACCCCACTCCATCCCATCCGCAGTGACCCCAGGCTGGCAGCCCTGCTCTCAGAGGGGCTTAGTTCCTCAGCCCTCCCCTCCCTTCCCCTCCATCCCCTCTCCTCCCTGGTACCTTGAGGATCCTGCGTCCCTGGATGCCTAAGGGATCCTGGTTGATTTTGATCATGAGTGGATTCTGCAGAATGTCCGTGTTCTGTGCGGAGATGGTGCGCAGGTCTGTGGACATGAAGAGGGGGGCCGCCAGCACTGTCCACAGGGCCATCTGGGCCCGAGCTTGCTCAAAGCTGAGGCCGAAGTTCCCAATGAGCAGCTGGGGGCAGAGGAGAGGTGAGGTCAGCTCTGCCCACCTCAGGGAGGGGGCCTGGGGCCAACTCTGAACGTGCAGCCCAGGCTAGAGCAGACAGGGACGTGGAGGGACGGCCACGAACCCCCCAGCCCAGCATGTGGCCTTGGGGAGAGCCAAGTCACTTCTCATGTGAGCATGAGCTTTTCCATCAGGAGCACAGGGTGACGACACAGGGCCTTCCAAAGGTTCGTGGGAAAATGGAATTTTAGTACAAGCTTATTTTTGGTGCAAAAAATGTTGAAATCCATGCATAGTCAGGAAATGCACCACTGCCTGCCGCACTGCACTGGCTTTCCGGCAACACGATCCCGCCTGACTACCTAAACAACCTGTGGTGTAGCTTGAACGCGTGAGGCGTCTTCGAAAAGTTCATGGGGGCCAGCAGTGGCGTGGTGGTGAAGGCTGCTGGATCCCGTGTGGCTGGCTGCACAGTTCGAGTCTCCACCCTAGTAGCTTGGAAAACAAGCCGAGTGCGTGTGCCCAAAATCCCGAACAGAGAAATGGAGAAGGGATTGCAGCATGACCATGCTCCATGGGGGGTGCTTTCTCGCTTTCCCTCTTTCTCTGCCTCTTTCCAAGCACATGTGCCTCTGGCAAATTAAAAAAAGAAAAGTTCATGCACATCGTGAAAAATCTATGCGTGGATTTCAGACTGCCGAGCACTTAGTTCTTGCCCCGAAGCCTCAGACAACCCT